AAATGTTATTATAAGAACTATTGCTTATGGATACATTTGTTGTTGAATAACAGTTATCCTTAGTACACCCTTTCAATGTAATGTTCATTAGTGGTGGTACATTAGTACAAAACTGATGAACCTAAAAAAATGTTGTCTTAAGTGAGTAATCACAACACAGTAAACACACCATGGGATATCATTATTAAGTACAATATAGACTATACATTATAATACATGGTACATTTATTACACATTACCTATAATACATTATAATACTATAGTCTGTCTATCATCATTTAACACTACTATTTACTATTACTATAAAGTTATCATAGCTGGCTATGATTAATCTTATTAGGGAACTTACAGATACAATGAAATGAAAAGTCCAATTTACATTCCCTCTTTCCTTATCAGTTACATATAACTGTACATCTACTGTATAGAATAATCACTTTAGGCTCTCAATAAGTATAATTACTTACTTGTTGATTGAAATCCAACAGTCATGTTACTAGTCGATCCATTCCCAGCTTTATTAGTAGTTGTAATGTTAAACAGATATTGTTTATTGGTTGGGTTCATTGGACAGTAAGTGTAGTTAGTGATAGAGTCATTAAGGTACTGTTGATCAGTTCCTACACTGATTATATACTGTACTGTTAGTCCTGGTAGTGTGAATGGAGGATACCAACTGATAAACATACAACAAGAATCTAACTGATATCCTGTTAAATTACTGACACTATCAGGTGGACCTGTCAATGAAAAAACATGACGTCAAACACAATAGTAGATTTTTCACCCCAATGTATATAATATTATATAAGTGAAACAACAACAATGCAGGCTAAATGAATGCTTGAGTACAGTCACTTCATTAATCAACATTATACTGACCTTGTACATATAGATATGCTGGTTCAGTGGTAGGTCCATTGCTTACTTTACAGGTAACTTCTGTACCATTTACTTCACTTGTTGCTGTTAAGGTGAGTGATGCCATTCCAGTAGAGGATAACTCTGAACCAACATCTGATGGATTAGTCACAAAAGAGGGATTAAATTGAGTCACATTAATAGCACATTTAAATGTCACAGTATCATTGATATATACATATTGTGTCTCTGGTACAATAGTGAAGGAGATACTGCCTGAAACTATAAACATTATAAAAGGGTGTTATTGTAAATTAAGGCCTTACCATAAGTGTTCATAAGAAGGAATACATTTATTGCAATTGAAAGTATTATTTTTCCCATTTTGGTGGCTTCTGAAGTAATGGAGTTCTGCTATCATATCAAAAAAGAAAAACTTGCTGTAATAGCCCCATCCGCATCATAAAAATCATAATCATCAGATCATATCATGCGATATCAAGCCGCACCTTTCCGTTCATTATGAATTAACTAATTATAAAAACAGCGCGTATTTTTAATAAACAAGAATATAATTAGCACGTATAGCTCTTTTGTTAAATCTTTAAGCAGGACTTGCCCATTTTGGATCAAAAATAAGAGGAAAAAACTGTCCTTCCATTTTATTACCCTAAAAAAGAAGCTTAAGATTAATGTAAATACTTGGTACTACCTTTTCAATGAGAGGAACCCCATTAAGCAAAGGTTCATTAGTATCAGACCAAACACCGTCAGCAATATAATTAACAACACATGCTCTCCTTGGCCTCTCTGACCTACAATAAAATAATAACAATTTGTCAAATTGCATCAACTAATTCAACTTAATGTCACTTAACAAGTGAGAATGCAACGTCTTTAGAATAAAATAATAATTCACTTGTTAGCGTATGATCCGTGTACCATTAAAGGATGATGAAAGCTAGCATGTCCTCTCTTTAAACCGGAAGGAACTGGTTTGAATTGAGCAAACTCTTCTTCTGTCAGTACCTTATAGGTTTAAAAACTTACATAACCCCCTGTACAAAAACTACATCCAAACCTTTTTCAATGACTCCATGTCACCAAAAGTAGCATCAGTGATTGGCAAAGGATTCCCATTTCTGCTCCACCTATAATTATCAAATTATTATTGAAATTATAGTCTTTCTTTTTTGACAATCATTTATGCACCTGTGTGATCCAGGTACAAAATGTAATCCACCTGTTTCTGGGGTCTGATCATCGAGAGCAATATGTATCTACATAGCAACAAGTCACACCCATAGCAACGGAACTACGCAATAACTCACAGTTAAGTGTTTCATTGGTTTAGTCCGTGTCCAATAACTATAGTCCTGATGCCTAAGTATGCATAGTAAATAGTGAATTTCAATGTGTATATTAATTGCATTAATTATACCCACCAAGCAACAACCCCGCCATGCTTTGGAGGCTTGGAAAAGAGTTGATCATGCCAGAGTCTGATGGGAACCTGACCTCCTTTATTATCAGGATCAATCAACTGGGAACTGGGAACCTAAAATAAGAACATCAAAATAGATGGACACATGCAACCTCCAATGCAGCAAAACTAATACTAGTATATTAGTATTACATAGTGCATTGACATAATAATTTAAAAAATAAAATACATTATTGGTATATTACATTGTGCATGCATACTACATAGTACTGAGCGTATGCTGTCCTTACTGATATTTGAGGGAGGAAACAGATGTCATGGAATGCTTTTGTGATCCTCCATTGTCCAAGTGCATGGAGGAGTACATTGTCTGAGAGTCCACTTTGATTGCGATGAAACTCATAGAAAAGACCATGACCTGGATGAAGCTTCTCTTTATCCTAAAAAATAATTATTATATTTTACTTAACAG